AAAAAAAAAAACAGATTTCGAATGTCTACGACTACGACTAATCCTGCATAGACCGGTATATATACCTTCCCCTCCATTATATGATCTAGAAATCATTTCAATTTCCAATATAACAACTTTAAAATGTGGATGGAAATTTCATAATGTACACAACACTCTATCTGCAGCTAAAGGACATCCATTCATACCATTTATAAGCACCATAACTAAACCCTCAATCAAAGAACAATTAATATCTTTTTTCAACCCAATTTACTTTCAGAGATCAAGTCGATGATACATAGCTGAAAAGCCCATGAATTTGTCGAAAAATTGTCAACAATAAACTCATCGAAACACCCAAATTTCTACAATTGCATTCGTATCAAATATCAAAACACTGGTATTTTATTCATTCAATTCAATCTTCCCAGATCCCCATTCAACCAACCAAAGCAACAACAGAAAAGCACGCGCACAGGGTGTGTTATAGAGAGAAAAAATTGCAGATCTGCGTGAAATCAAATCGCAAAGGGAGCTTACAGATGAAGATAACGAGGAGGGGGAAAGGGCCGCGCAGCAAAGGTCACACGGGGACTCGCTTCTTCACAACCAAGTGAATTTTAACCATCTTTTTCTACCTATAATTCAACATAAATCGCACTTTGTGGAATAAAAAAGTATTTTTTTTTTTTTATTTTTTTATTTTTTCTTCGACGCGTTTCAACGAGAATTTGGTGGGATGGACGAGACACGCACTTTCCGAGTATGGATTGAAATCTCGAGATCGAGAGAGAGAGAGAACGAAAATGATGGGATGAGAATGTAACAAATAAATAAAAATACTCTCTATTTCTAATGTATAGTTTTATTTTGGGCAATGCTATATGTACACCCCTTTTTAATAAATTACACAAAGAGCAATGCTATATGTACACCCCTTTTTTACATACAAGGGGGTGTACATATAGACACCCCTTTATTTTTTCACCATATAAAGATTGTAGTATTATTTACTAAAACATGTATCAAATATAAAGATTACATTATTTACTAAAATATGTCTCAAGTATAAAGATTACATTATTATCAAGTAATTATTTCCTTGAGTTAACCTTGTTCGTCGAATAATTTACCACATATATTTTTTATATTATGAATGAATAAAATTTTCAAATGAAAATGTGTATTACATTGAAAAAAATTTGGTAAATTCGATTCATATGATTTTTTTTTTTTTAATATTAAAGGAATTACAAAATAAAATTATATATAAAAAAATTGGTAAATTTTAATTCATATGTGTATTCCACACACACTGCACACAGACAGGTCACATACATGCATTGTACGCAATACACACATAACCACTGCCCGTCTCCTACGTCGGCCACCGCCTACACCGCCACATACCGCCGCCGCACTCATCCGAACACTGGCAATCGCCATCTTCACTGTCCCGCCGGCCAGCTCCGCCACCCTCAATAGCGCGCGCGACCGAAATTCCGGCTGAACCTCCACCCCAGCTCCGCCGACATCCGCACTTCCGCCCAGCCGCAGCTCCGCCCACATCCATCCGTTGGAAGTTTCGCGACATCTCCGACGACCGGAGATGAAAGTCTCCGACGTTCAACAGTGATTTTGGATTTGTGGGGGATTATTATTGGAAAATTTGATATTTTACAAGGACCCATATGCAGATTCAAGAATTTTAATTAATTTTAATTAAGTGCATGTGACAAATATGTAATTTACAATAAGTTTATAAAAAGTAATAAAGAATAAAAATAATTAAAATAAAAATAAAAATATTAAATACAATAATATAAAGTATTCAAGTAATATAAAAAATAATATAATGTAATAAATCAAATATTGAGTTAATAGTTAAATTTAATAATGAAAATAATATAAAATGTTAAAATAGTATTGGATATGTTGCACTTTAATGACAGACAAGCTGCACTTTTTGGCCTTTGCGATTGCACTTTAACGTAGCAAATATACCGACCAAAATGACTTGGAATATATATTATGTATGTTATTTTGTACAGTTTATATATGTAGGTTCAATTATTATTTTACATTTAAAATTTTGATTTTTCAGGTTCGACGTCGGTTTTATATATTTATAACTAACCAACCGATCGAATTATATAAACAATATTATTTTATGTTATATGTATTATGAATTTACAGTCAATAATATTATAAAATATTAAATGATAATATAAAAATACTAAATTTAGTTTTTATAATATAAATAAAAATTATTTTGTAAATTTAAGTTAATACAGTTATCTGGTTGAATAAATCGATTATTTCAGTTATGTTTAGTTTGATTTGAGACAATTCATTGAAAAAAATGCATGCACTGCGACTGCACAATAGTGTTAGACGACTTGCATATTAACAACCATGTTGCACAATAATGTTAGACATATTGCACATGATGACTGAAACTGAATGAAGTAAAGTTTTCATTTCTTCGATTGTCTATTTTTATTTGTAAAATATCGATTATATCAGTTCAATATCAACATTATTTTTTTTTTAAATAACCGAAATAAGCAAACCGACTAACTATATAAAAATTATTTTTTCATATATTTTTATATTAAAAACATTATTTATTTGTAGCCAGAAAAAATATTAAATGTAAATATTAAAAAATACAAACTATATTTTTTTAATATAAATATTAAAATTATTTATATTATTCGTGGTATTTCGGTTAATTGATCGAATACCCCGATTTTAAATTCAATTTTAATAGGGTTAGAACAGTTTATTAAAAAAAATATGTAATGTAAGTGCACCACAGTGTTAGATGAATTGCACATTAATGATTACCGAATTGTACTAAATCAATTGAACAAAATTTTTCAGACTGAACTTTTACATTTCGATTTGATAATCCATTTTTTATTTCTAAATCACGGATATATCAATTCGAGGTCGGCATTATTTTTTCAAATAACATAAAAAAACTAACCTACTGAACTAAATAAAGAATATTATTATTATTTTTTTATTTTTTATTGTTTTGTATTTATATGCATTTCAACAACACAATATTGATATATACAAATTGCACCTCAATGGCTATCAGATTGCCCTAGCCATAAAATCGAACGAACTAGCATTTTTGGTTCGAACTTTTATAATTGATTCAATTATATTTACACCATATTCGTATAGTATCTAGAGCTTATTTGTCGCATTATTGGTGTATAAATTGCATTATTGTGCTTTAATTCTATATTTGTTGGAAAGGTATTACACGTGCTTGTTTTGTAGATATTTTCACATATTTTTAGAGCTTTGGCTATTGGAGGAGCATGGTGAGTGCCTAAGACTCTCGGGATGATGATAGATCGATGCACGGATGTGAAAAATAGAAGAAACGAGCAAAACGGACAAAAATGTGTATGCTGGGGTGTGACACGGGCTGTGACACGACCAACCAGTCCGTGTTAGAGGCCATGTCACCTCGCCAGGTACCTGACACGACCTGCGACACGACCCGTGACACGGGCGTGTCAGGTCGTGTCGCGCGCGCAGACATTATTTAATTTCTTGCCTTTTTTTTTATAAGGAGAGGAGTTTTGGACATTAAAAAGAGCATATTAACCCTATTCTGAGGGAAGAACGTGATTACACAAGGAAGAGAGCCAGAGAACACGCAAGAAAAGCAATTGGAAAAAAGAGAAGATCGACGACAAGCTTACTAGTTTTTCTTTCTATCTTTTGAACTTGTTTTCTCATGTTGATTTTGAATATGTCTATGTATTTGATTTCAAACATGAGTAGCTAATCTTCTTTGATTCTAAGACATGGTAGTAGATTAATAGTTTGGGATTTTTGGATGATTTATTATAATTGATCGTTTTCTTTTGAACCCTATTCAAATATTTTGTGCTTATTTCATGAATTGCAACTGGCCTTTGCTTTTACATGTTTGATGATATTGTTCATAATTCGAGAGATGAGTTCAATATAAGATCTTTAATATTTGACACAATTTGTTTACTTGAATCGAGAGATTAGTAGATAGTTGTAAGGATTTTGGGTCTTTTAATCTATTTGGAGTTGAATTGCATGTGTTGAGTGGAGACGCTAATATATGTGATTTAATCTACGGTTTTATCGATCTCGAGAGGGACGATAGGCTAATTTTGTGATCATCTTATAGGGTAGATAAATAAAATAGTTAATTGTGATATATCTGAAGGAACCCAACTAGGGGTGGGCACGGTTCGGTTAACCGAACTTTTTGAGGTATTTGCTAACCGAACCGAACCGAGCAAATATTCGAACTCGCTAACCGAAACCGAACCGAAAATCTCGGTTAACCGAATTTTCGGTTAACCGAAAAAAATCCTACTATTCGCAAATTAACCGAACCGAACCGAACCGAGCGAACCTAACACAAATTTGTTTGTTCGCAAATAATAAACCGAACCGAACCGAACCGAACCGAAAACATTAATATAAATATAATATATAATATATAACATATAATATAATATAATATATATTTTAATAAAATATATATTTTATAATATATAATATATAATATAATATATATTTTAATAAAATATATATTTTATAATATATAATATATAATATAATATATATTTTATAAATTTTAATATAATATACGGTTCGGTTCGGTTAACCGGGATAAAAAAATCTTAAAAACCGTAACCGAACCGAACCGAGCAAATACTTCATTTGAGGTATTTGTAACCGAACCGAGTCCCCCGGTTAACCGAAAATTCGGTTCGATTTCGATTCGGATCTACGATTCAGCGGTTCGGTTCGAATTTTTTGCCCAGCCCTAAACCCAACTGTTAATTGAACCCATAGTCTTAGAATCTACCATTCTCTTATATTCTTCTTAAGTGTTTTCTAGTTGTTTTCTTGTTATTGATTTATTTGCTTTGATTTATTTGCTTAGTTTAGTTAATCAATCTCATATTCGGTCGTCTAAATAAAATTGGCACTTCCATTATCTAGTACTTGATTAATTGGTTGTTTGGTCTCTTGGGATACGACCTTGCTTGCCACATACTACGATCGAAGCCGTACACTTGCGGTAGAGCTTTAAAAATATAGGCGAACAAGTTTTTGGCGCCGTTGCCGGGGACCAATATAATTATTTATATCAATATTATGATAGATAAAGTTGGTTTTAATTTAGATAATTTTTGTGTTTCTTGCTAATATATATATATTTTTTTTTATGATGGATGAGGATGCGATAGACTATGACTGGCGCAATGATCCCAAATACTCGGAAGAAGATAAAAAGTGGTTTGAGAAGTGTTTGTTCTATCAGTTGGAAGAACTTAAAAGGGTTGAGTTGGAGTCCAAGCGTCGTAGGAGAGAACTCGAGGAAAGTGGCATTGGGGTGATGAATGTGGTTTGATGTTGCCACACACACCGGGGAATTGTCCTTTCTCTAGTTTACCTCCTATATCCCAAGAAGAGCTTGATTACATTCCTCCATGCTTTTTGTCGTTATATAGTGCGCCAGAAATTTCTATCGTTGCCGAAGAACATGAAGAAGAGAAGGATGTCATCTTTGAAATATCCCCAAAAGTTATTCTCACTGAAGGGGTGGTTCAAGAAGAATTCTTTAATTCTGAATGTTTAAAAACTAAATTTGTCATTCCATATGATGAAGAGGTTGAAATCTTCATCCTGAAATTTGAGAGATATTTTGATGGTAAACTTGGTGATTATGACGGGACCATGATGCTCTCTTATGGATTGAGTCCTTACTGGGAGAAAGTCAAACTTAAAAGGATGAGAAGATCATCAAAGTCCTTATTTAGAGTTCCCTAATAGACATTCTCGTCTGGCTGAAGACGTTAAACTTAGCGCTTGTTGGGAGGCAACCCAATGTTTACTGCTTTATTTTTTTTATTTTAGTTATATTTTTTGGTTTGTTTGATATTTTGTTTTCCTTCCTTGCAGAAAAGTACGTGGAGAAATTTACATGACGAAGAATATGTTTTGACATCTATACCAAGAATTGTCATCTTTCCAATGATGTTTTGTGAGTCTTCTCTATTTTACTTTTATTGAAATTCTATTCTTCCCTTATGTGCTTCATATAATTTCATTCAAGTTTGGGGGGAGATGTGATATTTTGATTTGAGTAGTTTAGAGAGAAGATAACAAGATATCTAACACATTATCTTGCATATCATATAGTTGCATATTAGGTTTATTGCTTTAGCACGTTTATTGCTTTCGTAGGATTTGAGTAGTTGTAGTTGGTCAACTTGGATTCACCTTGATAAGTTTGTGATACATATTGGATATGGAATTTGGGCATGATGTACTAGGTGATGGAATTTGATGATGAATTGAATTGTGAATTTGAATGATTGGTTGATGCTTTAAATTCATAAACATATGATCACTTGTGAGCTTTTGAGCCTTATACTTTGTTGATTGAGTGTATCGTTCATTGTCGTTGAATTCTAGAACTTGCGTTGGTATCTATATTGAGACTACATGATGTGCGCTTTTCGTGAAAATGATTTAAGGCCTATTTTTTTGTTTTATCCCTTTTGACTTTTAGCTTACCAAATAATATTTTTATTCCCTAGTCAACCCTTTTGAGCTTTTGCCTATTTTATTGATTGTCACATATTAAGCTATTATCTTTATTTTTCCTTATCCCTACTTGAGCATTTAGGATTATATTATGTGAAGGGATGTGTGTTGTGGTGGTGAGAAAAAAAAAAGGGATGTTTTGGGATAAAAATGTTGTTTGGGAATTTGAATAAGGCCAATGAAAAAAAAAATAAAAAAAAGAAAAAAAAAACCCAAAAAAAAATGAGAAAAAAAAAGTTTATTTTGTATATAATTTGCCTTAGTTCAAATAAAGGCGATTTTTGGTTTTTTTTTTTTGTTTGATCTTTATTCTCTTATGGATTGAGAGAATTGATTGAATTTGGATAGTGGATGGGTTATGTTGATAAGAAGATGAATTGATGTGGTCCATGTTTTGTAGTTCTAGATGCTCAAGTGTTCGTCACTTTGTCCATGTTTTTCCTACCCTGACCAAAGAGCCTACATTACAACCAAATAAAAAGTCCTTTTTGATTCATGAAATGCATGCACTATAAGTGGTGGAAATAGTAGACGATTTGCAAGCTTATGGTAATTCTTTGACATTGAATTGATTTGAGCGATTATTTCCCTATACACTTTCGAGAGAGAGAGAGTATACACTTATCTGGTGAGGTTTGTGGATTGAAGTATTGACCATGATTTTGATGAAGCATTCTTTTTGTTTAAAGATTTTGGAATTTAGTATGTTATTTGCCTGATGACTATTGATGATGCGTATGATCGACTTTGAGAGTTGTGATTGTTTTTCTTTGTGTGTTGAGAGAATGAGATGCATTGATCGGGACTATCAATGGTTGAAGTTTGGGGGTTTGTTCATGTGTGATTTTACACCATATTCGTATAGTATCTAGAGCTTATTTGTCGCATTATTGGTGTATAAATTGCATCATTGTGCTTTAATTCTATATTTGTTGGAAAGGTATTACACGTGCTTGTTTTGTAGATATTTTCACATATTTTTAGAGCTTTGGCTATTGGAGGAGGATGGTGAGTGCCTAAGACTCCCGGGATAATGATAGATCGATGCACGGATGTGAAAAATAGAAGAAACGAGCAAAACGGACAAAAATGTGCATGCTGGGGTGTGACACGGGCAGTGACACGACCAACCAGCCCGTGTCAGAGGCCATGTCACCTCGCCAGGTACCTGACACGACCTGCGACACGACCCGTGACACGGGCGTGTCAGGTCGTGTCGCGCGCGCGGACATTCTTTAATTTCTTGCCTTTTTTTTATAAGGAGAGGAGTTGGACATTAAAAAGAGCATATTAACCCTATTCTGAGGGAAGAACGTGATTACACATGGAAGAGAGCCAAAGAACACGCAAGAGAAGCAATTGGGAAGAAGAGAAGATCGACGACAAGCTTACTAGTTTTTCTTTCTATCTTTTGAACTTGTTTTCTCATGTTGATTTTGAATATGTCTATGTATTTGATTTCAAACATGAGTAGCTAATCTTCTTTGATTCTAAGACATGGTAGTAGATTAATAGTTTGGGATTTTTGGATGATTTATTATAATTGATCGTTTTCTTTTGAACCCTATTTAAATATTTCGTGCTTATTTCATGAATTGCAACTGGCCATTGCTTTTACATGTTTGATGATATTGTTCATAATTCGAGAGATGAGTTCAATATAAGATCTTTAATATTTGACACAATTTGTTTACTTGAATCGAGAGATTAGTAGATAGTTGTGAGGATTTTGGGTCTTTTAATCTATTTGGAGTTGAATTGCATGTGTTGAGTGGAGACGCTAATATATGTGATTTAATCTACAGTTTTATCGATCTCGAGAGGGACGATAGGCTAATTTTGTGATCATCTTATAGGGTAGATAAAGAAAATAGTTAATTGTGATATATCTGAAGGAACCCAACTGTTAATTAAACCCATAGTCTTAGAATCTACCATTCTCTTATATTCTTCTTAAGTGTTTTCTAGTTGTTTTCTTGTTATTGATTTATTTGATTTGATTTATTTGCTTAGTTTAGTTAATCAATCTCATATTCGGTCGTCTAAATAAAATTGGCACTTCCATTATCTAGTACTTGATTAATTGGTTGTTTGGTCTCTTGGGATACGACCTTGCTTGCCACATACTACGAGCGAAGCCGTACACTTGCGGTAGAGCTTTAAAAATATAGGCGAACAACAAACACTACGAATAAAAATTTGCTATAAGGTTTCGATCGTTTGGAAGAGCATACCAGTCCAACAAGATCTTTTGGAAGAGCAAAACATGAGAACTCTCAATTAAGCAAATAAATTTAGGTACGCTTTCATTATTCAATTTGGTTCTCAAAATTATTCAATATGAATGCTCTTGGGGATAAAGCGATGCTTTCATTCGCATAAGGTTAAATAAATTCCAACAAATGGTATCAAAGTAGTAGTAACTTCGAGTTTTACAAGATATCTTTTTTAAATTTATTTTTTTATGAACATAAACTGCTAGATGTTTGGTAGGTAACACATAATCCAGCTATCTTTACATACCAAATTTTATTTGAATTGAAATTATATATGCCAAAATTGCAAAGTAAATTTTCTTTATTTATGAATAATAATTGTAGATTACATGCAATCAACACAATAGAAATAGATTTTCTCAATGCAATAACAATATTAGTGGCAATTGGGTTCGTAATTTGCCCCTCGTTGAAAAAAAACCAAACTAAAATCATCAAGCAAATTGCATCAATAGATTTCTATAACATGAAACAATTCAAACAACACAATTATTATAAATAGATTATTGTAATTGCGAACTTATTACACATACCCGCTAGCCCCAAAGTCCATTATTTATAACCAAAACATCTTCCATGAACAATCTCACACAATTAAACCCCGAAAAATAAAGAAAAATGCCCAATTTCACTCCTATTTCATCACTATTACCATCAGCCATACTCTTTCTATTGATCCCACATTCCCTTGGCCTCAACGACTCTCAAAAGTTGTTGGTTAACAAGATATGTTCCCGCACGATCAACTATCGATACTGCGTAGATTTTTTTAACGAGCATTCATACGGACCCACGACCGGCATCAAAGGATTCACTCACATAGCCATCCTGCAAACAATCATCAATGCGACAAATACCTTAAAATTCATAGTGAAGCGTATCGAGTCGGAGAGGAATGAGGTGTTGAAAAATCTTTACAAGATTTGTGAAGTTGGGTATGAGAATTTGGTGAATCAAATGAGGGATGCTCATGTGGCATTTGGGAAAGAAGACTATAGAAACATGATATTTGATATAGAAAATTGTGATAGATTTGTGAATGATTGTGAGAGTGTTATGGACAATCAGGATGAGGTGCCACAATTGAGTGTTCAAAATGGTGAAAATAAACTGTTGGTTCAAATGTCACTTTTTAGTGGCCAGCTTATTGGAAAATAGTGTGAGTTAAGTTGGTGATTATTATGTGTGAATGAGTAAAAAAATTGATTGGTTAAATAAATTTTTTCTTGGTTTTGTTGAATTATTAATTCTAAGTACCGTTGATTTCTATTATTTTAAGAAAAAATAAATAAAATTATTTGATGTGTATCCCTAACATATTATTTGATGAGCATTTTTGTAATATTGAAATTAAGTTGCTCGTTATGTAAATTTAATTAGATTTCAAGGTACGTATTATTTTATGATAAACTTTTTAATGTAATGTACTTTGTAACTGCAATCTTATGCCATTTCATTCTAGCAGCAAGGAGTAAGATTGTAAATATAGAGTAATGATCCCCTACCCACGGTGAGTACATGTTAATATGCCCACCGCTTATGTGACATGCATACATTGGAGATGTTAATATGTTCAAAAAAATATATCACCAATGTGTACATGCCACATAAGTGGTGGACATATTAACATGTGACCACCGTGGGTAGGGAAACATTACTCTGTAAATATATAATGGATATTATTTGTTTGTTTATGTGAAAAAAATAAAATTAGTAAGGAGTGAAAATATGTAGAGAAAATATTTGTTATTTTAGAATATGAAAAAAATACATTTTAAAATAGAAAAACGAATGCCATTCAATGGTGACATGTTGTGAAAATGTAGATATGCTAACTCTAACTGAAATGGTTCTTATAATTTTGTCAAAATTTTATTTTTTCACTCGTTGACCATTTTTAAATTGGATCCAATAATTTGAGAATATAATCAATTTTAATCTCTTTTTATCCGCACTCTGGATAAAAAAAAAAAAA